ATTTTTGTTCGTATATAACATCATGATTTGATTTGTTTTGATGACACGATATTGCCATTCCCCGCGCTGACTCGAAGGCGAGGTTGGACTTTAAGAGAAACGATTACCTATAACTGAAAAAACTGGTTGCATTTGAGACATTTGTTCCAACAACGGAAAAAAAATGAAGAAGTGCAGTACTTCAAGAACTCATTTGAAATAGGATTTTGTAGGGTTGGTCCATGCAGGACATATCAAGGTAGTCCATTTGGGTAGTCCATCGGGGTAGTCCATGGACTAGGGCTCAGTGTTTTGTCCATCAACCTTTATCTCGAGCGTTTCTTCGTCCGCGGGAGCATGAGGTCTTGAGCAAAACGAGTTGGCGAAAGGTCAGCAAGGGGTCTGGTACTGATAATAGTGCCAGACCTCCAGTAAACCTCTCCTGGACTCGTCTCAAATCCTCCTGGGGACAGAAAAAGGCACGGAGGGCCTGCTCAGGCTACTACAAATTTGCATCTATAATCGTATAAATCTTAGCCGTACAACTTTAGCGCGATGCTTAATCATTTGTTTATGTAATCTCAATTTATTGAGAAGCAATGAGAAAAACTGAGTTATAAGTTTTTGTTCAAGGGACTTCCTGGATTCAAGAAATTGCCTGGCAGATTTATCACAATGGAGAAACCAGCAGTGCAAAAATGCAAGACGGCGTCCCATTTGTGGAAGACGCAGCGAACCCAAATTCAACTCAGCCTGACATAAAAACCTTACCAAGCCCTCGTCTTCTTAAGACCCACCTCTCTTACGAAGCTATCCCTAAAGCTACAAACAAGGACGCAAACTGTAAATATATTTACATTGCTCGTAATCCCAAAGATGCTGCAGTGTCAAGCTATAAATTTATTAAAAGCTTTGGATCTGGTACAGGATTGAGTGCCCCATGGGAGTATTACGTGAAGCTTTTTATTGAAGGCAAAAGTAAGAGAATGAACCATTACAATTTTTCTGATAATGATTAGTTATTACTGTATTGTAAAACCTAATACCTAGTAAAACATACTAGGGACCTCACAATAATTAAAGCCCCCTAGATAATCGTAGTACATTTTCTGCCGGCTGTTATTACTGGCATGTTAGTTTAATATTTTAACCTCGATGTGTTTATTATGATGAGCAAACCAAAAGTACCCTTATGCTTGGGTTACCAGTTTTTCAGTTGGCTATAAGTTCAAGAATCATATCATACTGGTAAGAGGCAAGTACTCTCATCCATGTGTCTTTGCTCCTGCGGGAGACAAGCTCCCGGAAAAGTCCTTCTCCTTTCAGGATTTTGCAATTTCCCCCTGATAGTTTGGGTGGAAGGATGTTCTGGAAGAGTGTCTTGCCTGAGAACATAACGTAATGACGGAGCCTGGTATTGACCCTTTCAATGCCAACAAACTCCAGAGCACTAATACCAGTAATGAGGCCACTGTATCTCCCGCATGCGGAGGGCAAATACAAAATATGCGATTTGGTCAATCAAGATAGAAAACATTTTTTTTTTGAGAAATTACCTTCAGTATCATTTATCTGTCTTTTATTTCAATTCATTACTTAGCCATGTGGAACCACTGGAATGATCATGTTCTTGGATGGTGGGAGCACAAAAATGCTTTCAATGTTCTGTTCCTTAAATATGAAGACCTTCAAAAGGTATGATCATTAAAACTATGTTTACCTCTCATACTTCTAGTTAATGACTCGTTTATTGGCAATGACAGTGACGAGACATTGGCGGAGATAGTGACGATGACATTGACATTGAAAATAACAACGACAACCACAAGCACATTGACTAACGACAATGACAATGACAATGAAAGTGGCAGTCGTAATGGCAGTGGCAGTGACAGTGGCAGTAGAGTGGCAGGGACAGTGACAGTTGCAGTGCCAATGGAAGAGGCAATGCCAGTGGGAGCTGTGTATAACCTGCAGGCTATCTTGATAGCAGGGAAGGGGTGTTTATATAATCGCACAATGATTCTTTGAGAGAGAGTTTTAGAATTCCCAGTCAATATAATTTGTTTCTATGCTCCCGCCTGTATGGATAGGGATAATCACTACTAAAGTAGATCATGAGATACTAAGAATATGTGTTATAGACAGGTTGATAATAAATGAGTGATTTTATTTTCTAGGATCTCCTGTCCAACGTTCGAATAATTGCTGATTTCCTCAACAAGCCTCTTCCAGATGATCTTGCCAAGCGCATTGCCGAGCAGTGCACTTTTAAAGGAATGATGGAAAACGTTCAAAGCTACTTGTTTGAAGATAAGGAAGATGGTCCAAGTCTTCTACAAAAGGGTGTGGTTGGTAATTGGAAGGAGCACTTCACCCCAGAGTTGAACGAGAGATTTGAGAAGGAAGTATTAGCAAAATTGAAAGGATCTGGATTAGAGTTTGACTTTGAGTTATGACACATCCTGAGTTTCTGTTTTGCAAAAGCGCTATGAAAATTACAGTTTGTTTTTGAACTGTCATAAGTCGCATTCCATCCTAGTGATCAAAAGGAAGGTTCTGCACATGCAGATCGACGAGTCTTTCATGGAAAGATCATTTAATAAAAAGTCGATTTCAACGGCAGACTACAAAGAAAACAGGACTGTACTATAAGGCAGTGGATTTTAACACGTCCAGAAAACGGTCAAAGAGGGTTTCCAGCTTTGCTTTTTTAAGCTGATCTAAGAATCCAACGTTTGACAAAAGAATAAACGATAGACTGTCAAAGGATGACGACAGTTTACTTGGCCAACCATAAGTTTTGGTTACGGTTGATAAAGGAAATTCACTGAAATCATCGATGTATAAAATTTCCAAATTTTTGTTATGAATTCCTTATTTTAGCGTTGTTCAGAATTGGCAAGTTGCAACTAAGCTACATAAACTGTTCTTAACTCAAGTTTACAATTAATTGGCACCAGAATGGATACTTATAGTGGATGAGGACGCTATTCACCAAATTCCTCAGCTGAGTAGCAATAATTTAACTTGACTTCACCCTAGAAAACATAGAATCTATTCTAAATGTTGTGCTGCGTAGCAGTAAGAACACAAATGATGGAACAGAGAATTAACTCTGAAGCGTAAATTAAAGTGGTAAGTGAAACCTACTTAGCACTTCAATTTACGCTTCAGAGTTAATTCTCTGTTCCATCATTGAATCTATTCTGTTTACTTCACCAATCATATTTTTGAACTTATAACCTACCACTTCAATTTGTTACTGATTTTTAATCTCATAGAAAGTCTCTGTTAGTGCCTTTATTCTCTTTACAACATTTCATAAAGAATTAGAATGACAAAAAATGGCTGAGTCGGTGCTTTCTGCTATAACAACATTTATAAAAGCTAACTGGTATTATGTTTAAATCACATCTGCATAGCGAACCATCCTTGCCAAAGAAAAGTTGTTGAAAATGTCACTTCATGAACAGCCCTTTCTTTTTAGCCATCAATTCATTTGATATATATTGCTATTACATAAGACGGAAGAAAGCTGCTACTTATATTCACACAGTCTTTGTAATTATTTTGGTACTCTATAACAACTATTATATTTACTGCTGCTTTCATAAAATAAAGGTGGGTTAAATTCAACTCGATCGTAGTTACCACTATGACGTTATACAAAATAAACATCTTATCCAGATTATGGAACATCTACTCGAGATAATTTTTCAGTTTAATACGTTTACCCGTGTTTCTTTGGTACACTGTTGAAGCTTAAATATTTATGTTGACCCTTCCAAGCCTCTATTCTGTGCCAGCTAAATCCTAATTAATGCCCTGACATGAACTTGCAATACCATAATTATCTTGCACTAGACACTAGTACACTCTGCGGAACTATTTTTAAATGTGTAAGTGTAATTTGCTCTAAAACAGTGCAAAATGTACTTCTGATGGGGTAGCATGTTCCTTGAAAGAGTGCCCCTTGTCATGATCTCCATTCCTGATTATGACAAACACACAAAGTCTTTTCCTTAAGGTTACTTACCACCTTCAGAGGCCGAAACAATCGTTTTTTTCTTTTATTGCACCAGATTGATGTTAGAAATTTTACCTAGCGTTTACGAAAAGAAAAATTTAAAAATCTCAAAAGGCGTCCGACTTATTTAGGAAAATGTGTTTTCAAATAAAAGTTAATAAATTAGGAAAATGTCATAATCTCGTAAATGGACGAACCCCTAGGGGAATATTCGCAGCAATTTCATGTTATTTGCATATTTATATTACCGCACACTTGACCATAGAAGTTCTCTACTGAAGGAAAGTCTTTTCCTCATGGATAAAAAACGTAAATATAAATAATATAAATTAGAGAGGAGTCATTGGGCAAAGATAAAGAAAAAAACAGGCCCAAAGATGAGAGAAATGGCACCATTTTGTCAGGAAAAAACAGTTCTGGCACTCCTTTCCATGCTGGCATCCAAATTACGAACAAAGAAGGCACCAACAAATCTACATTTTTCGTACATAGGGTAAAAAACGGTTTCCTTTCAATAAGCAAGTAGGCAATCGCCTCAAATGGTATGAAATCATGAATATTCCTTAAGCTGTCTGTCGATTCGTTGTTTTGCTTTTCGGCAGTTTCCTTTTTCGCCGGAGGTTTTTCCTCTACTAACTTTGCCCATTACTTAACGTTCAACACAGCGAGATAAAGAATACTTGACAACTATGCGATACTTTTCCCGGGAAAATCTTGATCCATTGTCATTGACATTAGGAGGTCCCCTCTTCCAGTATTGGTTCGCGGTTTTAGGAGGCGAGATGCCTAAAAAATGCCTAAAAAATGCCTAAATGGTGTGGCGCTATCTGTTTACAAACCTTAGGAGCTAAAATTTCGCTTATGATTTTGAGAGGAATACATCCCCTTTGAGCGAACTTATAGGGTATGTAGATTTGACCGAGTTTCGTGAAATTTCGAAAAACATTCCAGGGATAATGACCAACGAGAGTACGTCAGAGAATTTTGATATTGAAATATTTGCAAATGGTGTCCTTTACGCCACACGTTTCGCATATTTTACGCTGCTCCAACTTTAAATGCAGATATTTAGACAACCAATCAGAACATCGGAAAAGCCTGACACACTTTCGTTGGTTGATGCCTTCTAAAGAAGACTGTACAGCCATTTTGCTCGTGCTGCGGGATCTGATACCCGATAAATTCAACAGAAGGTCGTTTTACACCTTACCGGCTCCTGACACTCCCTAAATGAAAAAAACGCCTAAATTATATTTTTATGGTAAACTGCATTTATGAAGCTTTCTTGTGATGTATAGCTTGTTAGGGTTTTCTCGAAACTAGCGCACGTACGAGTTTTTTCTCGAATGATACCCGCGAAGGTGGGAAGTAACCTTAATGTGGATATTTTCGTTTACGGCTGCTTTTACGGACTTTGCCATGAGTCCATCTTCTAGGTGGAGCAGAGAGACAACCAGATAAAGACTCCGTTACCGAGTAATGGCCCATGGCACCAAACGAAAATGGTGCTGGACCGGATGAGTCATCAGGATCCATCCAAATAAGGTTACAATTGTTTTGCTTCACAAAGCAGTCCAACATATTTGTGATCCTTGGGTCTTTCCGGTGGCGAGAGTTCACCACAATGCACTCAACATTCTCAGATAGGCTGACTGGTCCGTGAATTTGAACCTTTCGTGAAGATATCGACTCAAATATAAGAAACCTAGTGGGTTAGTTATCAGTTCTAGCTCAGTTTGAGTTCGTGCTAGGGACCAAGAAGACTGACGAAATGATATATACAAACGTTTGAAATCAACTATCATGGAAAAAACAACAAAAACAATAACAAAAGTTAAAACAAAACAAAACATGAAGAGAAAACAAACAAAACATATTGATTTTTGAGGAGGGACGAAAATTTACAAATTTATGGCCCTCGGAGGTTCTGTGAATTCAACCCAGGCTGCAAAGGCAAGATTCGAGCATTTTCATCGCATACAAATCGATTCCTTACGATAACTTGTTTTCCTCGCTTCACATATTCAACAAGTTCAAAATGGCACATTGTTGTAGGTGAAGGCACTGTCCAGCTTATAAAAGAACATCTAATGCCGAGATTCCAGCAGAAAATACTTTCATTATGACCAACAACAAAACGGAACATTTAACACGGAACAGAGTACAAAATCCTTTTACCTCTTTGTACTGTGAGATACAGTCTGATCGATGAAATGGAACCTTTCCAGTGGCTACATCCATAATCTGGGGAATTGGAGAGAAGTGGTTGACAATTTTGTCATACATAGAACATGCAGACGTTTGTCGTATATCTTGACTCTAATAATGACTTCCACTACGGTCGTCGAGGTGTCAGTCACTAGTACCAATTTCAGTCCTTCTCTGGACTACTCTGGGCTGAACGATCACAAAACACAATAAAATGGAAAATGCTGGCACAAAAAATTCGTAATCAATGAAAAGAACGAGTAAAGGAGACAGAAAAATAGGAGCAAGCAGAATAAAATATCATATTAATATCATTCACCGCAGTTATCTCCATGTCTGTGTATGCAAAGAGGACGTTTTCATAATGTTCACAACACGACAGTTTGACCCCTTCACCAGATGTGTCCATAGAAGCGAACGTGGTGCGAAGACGAACTTTTTTGAGCTAAAGCAAAACAGATAGGATAATTTTAAAATAAACCTCTCCCACTTATTAGGTGACATTTACACATGCATAAACCTCTCTCACTTGTTCGGTGACATTTACACATGCATAAACCTCTCCCACTTGTTTGGTGACATTTACACATGCATAAACCTCTCCCACTTGTTTGGTGACATTTACACATGCATAAACCTCTCCCACTTGTTTGGTGACATTTACACATGCATAAACCTCTCCCACTTGTTTGGTGACATTTACACATGCATAAACCTCTCCCACTTATTTGGTGACATTTACACATGCATTAGGTGATGTACTTATTGACTATGTGGGAGGGCCGAACTAAAATAAAAATATTTGGCTCGAGGTCATGACGCACTATGCCAGAGTAACAACTGCCATTTCCCCCCCAAAGATTGACAAAGGCTTGGGACATAGAATCAATCTGAGTCCCTTATGAGGATTCGAACCTCCAGCAGTCCGTCCAAATAGAGCCTCCCCAGCGGAATAAAGAGTTTTGTGCGCTCCACTCGGTGCTTGTTTATTTGCTACGTCCCGAGGAAAGGTGCAGTGGCAAGGCCCATTCCTTCGTTCTCACTCTCTGGTTACTGGCTGTGAATAGCAGAGGACTGTGTCTGTTTTCAAGCAGGGATTGTATGTCTCTATGTCTAAGATACTTTTGACATTCTGGTGGAACTTGGTGAGGATTCAAACCTAAAACGTTTGAATATCAACATCAAACGCTCTGCTCGACCTGGTGAGGACTCAAAACTCACAATTTTGAATATCAACATCAAGTGCTAGACCAGCCGAGCAAAGAGAAACTCTTTAAATCAACCTGGTGAGGATTCAAACCTCATTCTCTTCAATTTCCCTTTCAAATGTTCTACCAGCTGAGCCTAAAAAAGGCACTGAGTCGACTTCCGTGAGGATTCAAACCTCGCTCTATTACATTTTGCTAAAAATGTTCAACAAGCTGAACAAAAAAATTCAATGGAATGGCCACTGATAAGTGAATTAGCTTTTTGTCGACCATGTAAGCGTTGTTAGTTTTCTTAGAACCTCGGTTATGTCATTGATGTTCGGGGGCACGCGGACACTTTTGCGTCGTACATACTGATATATGATAAGTGTATCTCCATTGCGACAAGTTACTCCACAACTTGGTGGCTAGAACACTCTCCTACCTGGTATATTTTCTTTTATTAAATGGGCGATTTATAGTTTACTTGGTGAAATTTCCTCACACAAAAGTATTCAAAAATGCTAACCTGTAGAAAAGAATCTCCATAAGGAAAACAGCTTCTCACACCACGAGGATCGCCAACTACAAAAGGCAAATAGCACAGATAAGAAGGTCTTCATACTCTCGCTTTCACAAGTATTCAGTACTCACAGCAATTTGATGAAAGAAAAATTAGTCCACTTTGGAAGAGATATTAAAAAGTAATCAAGGTTTTCATTGGCTTTGTTCCTCCTGGCTTAATGATTGGTTCCAACATCACACGCCACCTTTTTAACCAGTCAGAAACTGCACCTACGCGTGACTTGGTCACGTGCACTTTCCCGCGCTCGAAGATAGTTATGTGTATTAGCAATTGGCACGTTATGGCATTCCCTCGTGTTCCTCTGCTGAGCTGTTGTGACGCGGAATTTTATTCCAGTCTCACGACACTTAGTCGAAGACAACTCTGTTATAAAAATAATTTGGATATATCGACAAAGTTAAAATGGTAAATTGCCCACCGTAACGATCACAAAAGCTGACGTTTCGAGCGTTAGCCCTTCGTCGGAGCGAAATAATTTGGCCATATCAACAAAGTTGAAATGGTAAATTGGCCACCGTAACGATTACAATATAAAAAGGTTGATACAAGTGAACAACATATATGCTCTCACGGTTGTTCGCGAAAGAGAAATCTTAGAGGGTGATCAGCCTTTCCCTTAAGGTAGATACTGGGTATTCTCTGGTGTCGAAATTCAAGGGATGGTCTCATGCTCACCGATATTGAGTACACCATACTTGACTCGCTCTGACGGATTGCTGTAGTGATAAGCGCTGTTAAAAATACGATCCTAGGGGGCGAAGAAAAAGAAATATGAGAAGAAATATTTTGACGTTAAACTGGTTGAGAAGATAGTGTTACCAGTACTCGACTGATTCTTGGAACTTTCAAAGTGACTCAAGATACCGTGAACCCTCTACAGAACTTGTCACTAAAGGTTAATAAAGGATGGCGAACGAAATAGAAATGCACTCAGACGCAAAAACGAGGAAACACCTCTAAAGCTTTTTGCAATGTTTGATTATTGCTCATATTCTCACCTCCCACGACTTCCTAGCCACTACGTCCGTGGAGCCCCCACTAGTGCCAGTCTCAAAGCGGTTTCGATAATGAGTATCGTCAACCAGGAACTTTAACACTCTGTCTAGATTGATGTGAATGGTAATGGGTGCTGCACTGCGGACCCATTGCAGGGTTCTGCAAACCAAAAAATGCTTTGAATGCAAATAACAATACTGGCTGAGGTACAATTGCCAGTTTTTCGAAAGAGATTGCAAAGAAAATCTCGCTACTTTCGCACAGCGGTTGAGAACCAGCAACTGCGGAGATGGTGTCTTCTCTTGGAAAGGTGAAGCCCGAACAGGTGATTTGAATTTTCGAATATACTAGTAGAGAGTTTCTTCTTTAAATAAACAACTGCTCGTTTCAGGACCCATTTCTCTTGTACGGTTACACTTCACGACCAAGGAAAATTGTCTATCAAGAGAACCAGCTCCTAAACTGCTGTCCAATTTACCGTTGTTGGTGGGACTAGCACTAACTTCTTCCAAAACTGGTTAGTCAGTAGTATAATACTAACCTCTTTAAGTCATTTTCACTGTAACCCAAGCGCTTGACTCGTGCAAGTAAGGCGGAAGCAACTGTCTTGGAGTCCTGGGTAGAGCGTTTGATGACGTATTCTAAAGCTTCCCTTTGAGTTTCGTTCAAGATGGCCACTGACGAGATGGCACTTAACTGGAAGGAAGAAAATTCTTTCATAAAGTGATTTGGCTTTCAAACAAAGAAAACGATGTAGTAGTCTTGATTTATAATTTTGTCCCGTGCCATGCAGTACAGAGAAGATGCAGGAGACAAAGCCTACGATTTATCTTCCTTATCCCAAAAGATTAGAATGTCAAGCCATTTGCAGACGTCATTGCAAAGGCAGCACATTCTCCTCAGTTATTGGTCCGGTCTAAGGGCTTACGTTTTCGAAAGTGAAAGTGAAAGTGAATGATTCGATACCTTAATAGCAGCATAGGCTGAATTGCTAAGGTCTACAGTGTTACTAAGGTTGAGATCGGATGTCAGCATTATCAGGCGCCTCTGGCAGCCGCGTTAGTCCATGTAACGACCTCACCTTTTCACCCCACACATCCCACCCCAGGGGAGGACATCCATCACACAGTAATCTCGTGTGTGGGAAATTAACGTCTCCTACCCCTAACCCTGCAGGAGACGGGACCTCCATTAATTCGTCCTTGTCCGAGAAGACTAGAATATCTATCCATTTCATTGATGTTATAGAAAGGTAGCAAATTCTCCTCAGTTATTTTAAGACCATGAGTATTGGTCCGGCCGGGGCTCGAACCCTCGACCTCCCGCACAACACAATCCGGCGCTCTAACCAATGGAGCTAACCAGGAGGCGGTTACTTACGACAGTCAGGCCTGGTTACTTACGTCCTAACAGTCAGATATCTAACTCACGTCATGTACAGAAGGTAAGAATCCTTCGAATCTCTCTCGTGGTCCTGAGATGTCTCCATCACACTTCTGAGCATGAATAATCAGTTTACTAACTGGAAAATCCTTAAAACAGTACATACACCTTTCCAAAGGATCCTCTCCTAATGATTGGCTGTTAGTTACATACTCCTACGAGAAGACATTTAGTCAAATCACAACAGAATTCTGAAGATTCAAGGAGAAGGGAAGGTCGCTCCTGCCACTGGCTGTCAAAGAGGTGTGGGTTGAAGAACCTTAATCAACAGCTGGGTTTGCCCATTTTCGCAAGTCACACTCAAATTTCAAACGATTTAAAATTTCACCAACCTGACTGCAATGGAGTGCTCTCTGCTCACAATTCGGTGCATGGTCTATCAGTTCATTCAAAGGAAATGTCCTTAGACAGTAATAACACTGCTCCAGATCATTTGAATTCGCGGAGGTCTGAAGAAATTCATAAACAAAAAATCAAGACACTTACGTTTTGAGAAATTGCCTTAAATTGAATAGAGAAGTAGCCTGGATGTTCCCTTCCTCAAAAAGCGGAATAAAGTTTCAAAAGAAAAGAACCGGAACACCTCCTTAGTTGGAATTGGACTAAGTGATTGGTGTAAAATTTCCCTCTCAGTTTTGATTATAAATGTTTTTCTTCACTCATCTACTAAAAAAATCAACATTTTGGAGTATTTTGATTGTTATCCCGATGAGTTTAAACACAAGTGTTATTCTGTGCTCAATACATCCGCCAGGATACATGAATTGAAGGCAATTGAGGTGTTTTATCAGATTGGGGAAAATATTCTACAACTACTTAAAGTCTTCAGCAATAATTGCATATTTTTACTCTACCTGCTGAAGGCCTGAACAAACACTGGCATGTTCCACAAGGACGCTCAAAGCAAACATTTTCAAACAGTTAACACATTGTTCTTCACAGTCATGGTACGAATCCAGTGATGATGTTGTTCTGTTTAGGACGACTCCTTCAGATTCATTTGTTTCTCTATCATCATCATCTTTATCATCATCATCTTTATCATCATCATCTTTATCATCATCATTTTTATCATCATCATTGTCATCATCATCGTCATCATCATCAGCAGCATCGTCAGCATCATCATCGACCCTAGCCCCTTTAATTCTCAAAAATTCTTCGGTTTCTGGTATTTCTGACGTTCTTGTCTCTATTGAGCGTGATTGATGCTCCGGGTCAACAACTCCCAGGGATACTCTGCCGCTCAATTTGTCTACAGGCTTAAAACAAGAGAGTGAATCGTCTACAGGGGCGGTTATTTCTTCAACTGATTTACTTGGCCGTTCGCTTGTAACCTGTTTTGAGTGTTGTTTTTCGCATTTGGGAAAATGACTGCTCATCACATCTACTGGCAATCTAATTCCGCAATAAATGCAGACAGCAGATACATCTGTTAGTGAATCCGTCGAAGTACAGCCCTCGCCACTTGCCTCCGTTTCTGAACTAACATCTGAGGTACAGTTTGATGCATGCTCAATCAAAAGGGACAGATGAAAAAGCTTACGACAATTGGGGCAGAATTCATATTCATCATTACCGACATCGCCCTCAGCAGCTACAACGGCGCCAACACAGTCATCACCTCTATGGTTGTTTTGACTGCAATTTTTTTTCAGTGTATCCGAATCAATCTTACTCTCATCACTTTTGTTTTCGTGACTTCTGGTATCTCTTTTAGTTGCATTAGCTTTTTTATTTTCATCCCTTTCATGTTTATCGTGGTAGTGGTGGTCTCCACAAGTGGTGCTATCCTCGTACGTTACTCGTCTAGAATCATCAGTTTTATCACTGCTTGTACCTTCCTCGCTCTCGATGACACCACCTTTGGTAACTTCGTCATTACCACAACGACTGCTTAGTTGTTTCTCCTCAATATCAACTTCGTTATTGTTAAATGTCTCATTACTGTTACAACCATGGTCGTTAATTTCGGTTTCTTCGAAATTCTCATTATCTCTATCAGAACCTTCATCGTCACCAGTGTCGTCTTCCTTATTAAGATCTCCATGCAGTGACTCGAAATCTGAGCCCATTTCTTCTTCCTTGCATTCAGCGACGTGACTCACTAACTCTAATATGGGAAACTCTCCTTCACATTTTGGACATAGTTCTTTCTCAACTCTTGGAGGATCTTCAATAAAATCAGACCTGTCTGCTTTGGTTGACGAGAAAGAGGAGGCATCATCCTCCTGAGAGACTTCCTCAGCTACCCGCCTAGAAATGTCTTTGCAGAGGCTGACATGGTCCACAAGTTCCAGTACCTCAAAATGTCCTCCACAGTAAGGGCACGCTTCACGCGTGTTTTCCGTATCATCTGAGGCTGCGCATGCACTCAGCTTGGAACATTCAGACACATGTTCAATTAGCTTAGAGACTGGTAGAAATTTGGAACAGAATGTGCATCTTTCTTTGGATTCTTCTCTCTCAAGGGCAGATTCACTTTCAGGTGGTAAAATGGATTTGGTAACTTTACTGAGAGAGTCGGAACTTAATTTTTGGGTTTTCAGGGTTGGACAAAAGATCTTTGTTCCTGGGCCCTTTTCTACCCGCACATCCTTTCCCCTCCTGGAGTCGCAACTTGTAACACTTGACTTATCAACGATGTCTGTTTCAGTACATTTTCCTGAACGGTTACAAGAAGTTTTCATAATTCCAGGTGTTTTCTTGTCGCATGATTCATCATATACTCCTGTCATTTTTATAGTCCTGTCTGATTTATGTGCTACACTGTCAGCACTGGTATCTTTTGTACATGTTTCACCTTGTAACAAGTTAACTAACGAATTTTGAATCTCAACATTAATTTCCTCTCCGATCTGAATAGTATCAAGTGGAAGCGATGATAAAGAAATATGATCCTGACTCTTAGCCTCTTGACTTTGACCTTCACAAACTGCTTCATGCAAAGACATAGTCACACGAGGAATCCATTTCTCACAGTGAGAACACTTACCACAGTCAACGCCATCTCCAGTTGCACTGTCAACACGTGTTCGTTTGGGCTCTAAATTATTTGCTACATTTTCTAGTGGTCGAGGAGAATCACGGTCTACAATCGTTTTACATACTCTCGGTACATACGACCCCGAATGACTTCGATTAGACGAGGAGATCAAGGAGTGTAATGTTGAGGTAGTGGTGTGCGCTTCACCCGGTTTTCCGTGTCTTTCATCAAAATTATTCGTTTGATCAACACTTGTATTGCCGTCACTCGAGCCAGCTAGAGCAGATATCTCTGTGTCAGTATCACTACTATAGACGTAGACACTTTCCATACTTTGTTTATTATTTTGATCTGGGTATTCTGTAAGAAGCTGTTTATTATCAAAGATCTCCTTATCTCGTAATTTAAATCTCACTTTTTTAACACTGGTGGATTGAACGTCAGGTTTACGCTTCCTTTTAGCGTCAGTATCTGTCTTGATTTGCTGATCTTTCTGAACAACACCTGGTGTGCTTTCGAGTATCTTTGTGTTGCTTTGTTCGAAAGGTTGTCCTGGTTTGTATGCAAACTTTTTAATTCTTGGAAATGGAGAAGAAAAATACTTAAAAGAGATGACCTCCGGGTTTAATTCAGTAGACTTAGTTAGCAAAATAACATCATCATCTTCTAGTAAAGTGGACTTTCCCTTCTCAAGTTTTATCACACCTTCGCTCTTTTTAGAGGATATCCATGTTCCATTTGAACTGTGATCTGTTATTAGTACTTGACTCTTAGCTTCATCACTACATCAAGTCATAAATTAAGAACAGATCGTGATGAAAAAATCATTTAGACAAAAACGAAAGCACTACAGCTGTAGTACCACGCTGCATGCCTCACTTTGGCATCGGGACTTGACTACGAGGTAAATGTAAATGTTGTTTTATGGAGGGTTCAGAACATTTAAGCTGGATTAAATAAAAAGGAATGACCGAAAAGATGAAATACAATTAGAGTTGCACAAAAGTCACTGGATTAGGCGTGATCAGTCTGGTTGAGATGTACGTAAAGTTGTATAAAAACTTCCTCAAGGTTATGAGGAAACCTCGTGCTGTCAGAACTCCCGATATCTTTAAATCGCTTTGGGATATTATAAGAAGCCCTGCTATCTCTACATTAATTGCAATCAACCCAGACTACCAGCAAATTGTTGGATGGAACTTAAACCAAACAATTTCAATCTATTTGAAGACAGATCGATAGTGCTCTTCCTAATAATCTCACCTAGCTCGAGAATCATCTTCGCTTGAGATGTTCAACCTACAGTGCACATTGCTCACATGGCTGTCCTTTAAAGTGATGTTACAGAGTGGTGATCGACCAATCTTGAATGGACCTGTCACGCGAAGATCGTAATCTTTGTCTAAAAGGTTGGAATCCAACATTACTGTTGTATTAGTCGACAGATGATTTCTTTTCTTCTACGACTTCTAACTCATTCAGCGGCTATGTCTGCGTAAATAGCTACTTTGTATAAGACACATGAAGTATACCAGTGGCTTGCGATTGATGACATGGGTTACCATAGAAACTGAACCAGAGTGACCATTTTGAAAGCCACTGTTATCATGAAAGTCAAGGTGTAGAGTAGCTGACTTCAGTATTAAATAGGACCCATGGAAAGTCATTTATTGGCGTTGAAGATAAGTGATGTATGTATCCAATTTACTAGAAAACAATAGAAGATAAAGATGGCGAATTTCACGGGGCGGATTTTACAAACTTACCAACTTGCGTTCGTTGATTTCGACTCTCCGTGCCTTGACATGCAGGAATTTGCGTTTGTGTGAAATTGGACGATCGATCTTTGCAGTATGACTAGCAAGCTCATGCAGCTAATCGAAACTAGGACTAAGAGACCGGTGTTAGACGAATCGGAGTTAAAAGTGAGCTCGCACTGGAAACTTATCAAAACCGCCATTCAACAACCGCATGGGGACGATCCAAAGAAACTTGATGAGAAACAGTCTCTCCATGTGGGACATGGCGTTCATTCAGTAAATTCTCTGCCGGCTGAGGAAGATCTTGCCTTTGTAGCGTTTAACTCTTTTAATCATTGCTTTGTTGGAATTTATAAAGATGGAAAAGCATCGGTTTTTCTGCCAACTGGTTACCGAGAAGATGTGCATAGCAAGAGCTTGAAGGATCCCATCTGTGGGATAGTGTACGCAAAGAAACCTAGATTTTATGTTGCTTGGGGATTTGACGAAAATATCAGAGTGAGTAAACATCTGTTTATTTAAGGACAGTTATACATGTGGGCTTGTCTTGTAATCAATAGTAATTCAAATGATTGGAGCTGTTCACTTCTCTGCGTGCATGGTGGGTCAGATTAAGAAAGTATTTGGGCACAATTAACTGCTGAGTTTGTTGTTTGTTGTCATCTTTGCTCCTAGAGTTTTTTTTTTTTCCCATGGCCTCCAGTTCTCTTCCTTTCTACAAGACTCGTTTTCTGTTCGATTGGAAAACAGCTGATGAAATGAAAACTCTGGGCATTACTTCTCGGATGGCCGCTTCTTTTCATTATGAAATATATTTTTATTCGCACACTTGTATGGTCATCCTCGGAGACCTAGGGGCTGTGGGTCGATTTCAAGTTAGGGCATGAAGAGCCCCTGGGGACATTGTGTGACAAGACTAGTTCCAAACGGTCGCAGTAGTTCTGCCATCTGATTGGTGCCAGAAAATCTTTGTGTTTTTCTGCCCAATCAGAGTGAAGTGTGCTTTAGAGTCCTTTCGTGTGTTTTAACACGGACATATACTAGTAGCTCAGTTGCTCACTATGATTGTTTGGACCTTGCGACGGAGACTTGCTTGAGGTGAAAAGTTTCAGTCTTAGCACACAATGTAAGAGAAATCGATCAGATTGTCCGCGAAAATCTTACCGGAAATTGTACTGAATACTTTCGCAGGTATCACTAGAGAACGTGTTTTAAAGTTTGCGAGGTTTGTATACAACACGATGGTTGCAGTCATTGATATGTCACTTTAAACGTTAAACGAGGTTGAAGCTTAAATCTTTTTAGAATTTTTTGCATAATTTGCTGTGACTGAAACTTTGCCAATCCCGTGAAGTTATTTCGTCGCACGGGCCACGCAGGTATGTCGAGCAACTGGTACTTGCGCAACTTTCTGTGCGTGCCAAAATCTAATCTCATCTTCGCTTGAAAAAAAAGAAAAGCTGAGCGTGGAAACTTTTGCTTATTAGATGTGTGTAGATGACCCTGTACTACTAAGCTGACATTTGCAATAAAACAAACCCGCCCTTTCCATCCAATATTTCTTGGTCTTTGGTTTTGTTTTTCCCATTGAAAACAGCATCAAATCGATTCCCAATGATCAAAGGTATTTAACTTGGTCTTCAACAATCGACAGAAGAGGTGAAATGACAATGACCAAGGGACTAGAAGAGAATCCGTGGCCTTCCTAGCTCAAGAATTTCAACACTCTAGATAGCAATTGAAAGATTAAACTCCTTCCAAACCCCTTCGGTAACTGCCCGAAAACATCTCTCCTTCTCACGATGTTCTCGTTAATCAGTTTTTGTTCAGATTTTAATTAGCGAACCGGAAACACAGCTAAGCTTTCTCTTAGGACTTGCTGGAGGTCGTCCACGAACTTCACGTTCTCTTCAACCTTGGCCGTATTGTCAACGACTTTACTACTAAGATTAGATTTTGGCGCGCACAGAAAGTAGAAAGCTACGTGGGCGAAAGCACCAGTTGCTCTACATACTTGCGTGGCCCGTGCGACGAAATAACTTCACGGGATTGGCAAAGTTTCAGTCACAGCAAATTATGCAAAAAATTCTAAAAAGATTTAAGCTTCAACCTCGTTTAACGTTTAAAGCGACATATCAATGACTGCAACCATCGTGTTGTATACAAACCTCGCAAACTTTAAAACACGTTCTCTAGTGATACCTGCGAAAGTATTCAGTACAATTTCCGGTAGGATTTTCGCCGACAATCTGATCGATTTCTCTTACATTGGGTGCTAAGACTGAAACTTTTCACCTTAAGCAAATCTCAGTCGCACGGTCCAAACAAACATAGTGAGCAACTGAGCTACTAGTATATGTCCGTGTTAAAACACACGAAAGGACTCTAAAGCACACTTCACTCTGATTGGGCAGAAAAACAAAGATTTTCTGGCACCAATCAGATGGCAGAACGACTGCGACCGTTTGGAACTAGTCTTGTAAGACAATGTCCCCAGGGGCTCTTCATGCCCAAACTTGAAATCGACTCAGCCCCTGGGTCTCCGAGGATGTTGTATGGTATACAGTACCATACGGTGCAATCCAGGCTTATAGACCAAATTTGGCCTTTCGTTCTAATGAACCAAACTGATTATTTGAATACTCAGACCAATAAGATTATTCACACTATAAGCAATTAAGACTTACCAGGTCACTGTAAGCATGTAGCACAGGTGTCCATCAGTGTAATCAGATGTGATGCTGTATGTACATGTAGACTGAGTAGTAAGACAATCCTTCACTCTCATCTAGATAAGGTAATTTGGTGAACTAGAACTCAGTTTTACAATGATGATATGTCAACATTGTAAAACTTTCACTTCCTGTTTTTTTACAATGCATTCAGATGGCTGTGGATTCGGTTATAATTACTTCATCATTTACATTTTCTGCCGATGAGCATGAAAAATGTCTGTTTAAGTATACTAAATGAATCATGTAACAAATGCTTGTAAACTATTAGATTTTTCTGACAATATGGTGGCCACCTTGCTTTAATTCCTGGAAAGACAAATTCAAAGGTGAAGAACAGAAAAGGTTCTCACTCCCTATAGTGTCTTCATTTGAATTGAATGTAACCATTTTTACCTTCTTTAATTTTTTATCACCTTATATCAGATGCATTTTTTATTCATGTTCCAACTGAACCCTTCTCTCCATTAACTTGCTTCTCTAGTGTAAATTAAGTTTGAAGTTCTCCCTTAGATAATTTTTTCCGTAATAAACCGTGGAAAGATTGAAATGTGAGTGGTGGTTGTGAGCTGAAAGAGCTTGACACACTTCCAAAAGAATTAACTATACTGTTGTAGAGAGTTGAGATTTACTGAGATGTAATTAATTAGTTTGTACCCAAGGCAGCAGTATCATGCATTTATAATTAGAAACACTCTTTTTTCCTTTATTTTTTTTTCTGTAGCTAATGTCAGACGGTTTCAAGGTTATCAGTGTGGCAACATCTGTGAGCAGAATTTTCAGGTAAATAAAAATTTTGCCTGGGCTTTACATGTACAGATAACTTAATACAAGTAGATCAGCATAAATTGAATAAAGCCTATTTGTCTTTAACCCTTTAACTGCCACAAGTGATTAACATGAAACTTCTCCCTATGAATTATCCTTACATTATACAACAAAAAGGTAATAAGAATAATAAAACTTATTAGGTAGAAGTTGTTATCCTGATCTAACACCAAATTCTCAGAACTAAGATACAAGGAAATGTGTAGCTGCTAGACGGGAGAATGAATGATCAGATCTTGGAAAGGAAAATGAAGATCATGATACACTTGAAGGCTTATATGTTCTATAACAAGACGTTGTTCAAATGTACAATTCAATATAGACATGATCTTAAGAGTTCTTTGTGGCTAGAAGAATAGAAGTTTTGTAAACTGCTGCTTACCTGTGGGGTAACAATTCTTGTAGAGCCCCTAATTCCAATTTATAAAGGAATATATTTTGTGAGTTAATTGTTTGTCACTGGGACAGTTTACACTGAAACTCATTGTTTTTGTCAGTGCTACCGACTCTGCAATTAAAGGATCCTCTTTTTTAGACAAATTACTAGAAACCCACTAGAATAATCCATCCCCTTCTATCTTATATTTAGTATGGTTTGTTTGAAATATTTTTTTTGTTTTTCTCTCATTAGTGGAGTTTATAATGAATCCTCCAATGAAATCATTACTGGTGGAGTTGGGAATCTTACAGTAAGTTTAAGCATAGGTAATAACATGATCTCAAGTGCAATTTGGTGTTGATGAGAACGAGTAAATTGCAACAAAATTGCATGGGCCCATACAGTGTTGGTTGAGTGCAATTGGAGGTTTTTGAAAAATTTACAAATTGTACCAGAAATTATGTTATTACTTATTAATAATTAATATGAAAGAAGCATCACATAAAGGTGACAGACGAAAGCTTGACAGTGCATGTCCTTTTTTTAATCAGCACCCATGTAACAAACTGTGCACTTGTGTTACAACTTTGCACTTAGATGAAATCTAATGCACTCATTTTCAGCCAAACAGAAGTTTTGAAATTGTTTCATGTACAGTATAGTGATACATTTTTGTACTTCAGCTGTTTGGTCAGCACTTTTCATGTTTCAGGTTTTTCAAGTGTGAAAGTTAATAAAATAAAATTAAACTATTGTCAGTGGTGTATAATGGCTTAATTAATGGCTTATATCAGGTGCACCCTGCAATGATCTGTCTGGGAGTTGTTTGGATTTTTAACCCTTTCCACCCTAATATCAGTATCCATATTCTCCATACTGTTCTCTATACATTTCCTAAGGAGCCATCAAGGAGAATTAATTTTTGTTCAACAATCAAGAACATCTTTGGGTGGTGATCACTTCCTAAATATTCTCCCGACTTACCCAGCTGTGAACGCGATTTTTCCGGCTGTAAAGCACTACTTATTCCTCCAAAATGTTTTTAAATGTTGTCATAAAGTTGCTATTTATTTATTTCATTTGTTTACACCTTCATTGCTGTCTTACCTGAACTGAAAGGATTGTAAACAGTCCATTTAGTGCCACAATCGCATCATTGGCATCGCATCGTCCATTTTGTAGGCTCAATGGCGAGCAGTATTTGTCCTTCGTGTATGTGAAATAATGAATGCCCTTGATTTTGCCCCCAAAATCAAGGAAAATGCATCTCCAAGAGTATGCATTTTCAAAATTTCATGGGGGAGCATGCTCCCGGAACCCTCTTAGTGTAGCGTGCCAAAGGCACGCTATAGTGGTCCTTCGGCCCAAATACCCACCTTAATCATTGCTAGATTCCCGCCTGTTAAAAACTTTAGCTACAATTCCCTGTAGTGTTCGATTCAGGGGTGATGTTGTAAGGAGAAATTAGATTCTAGTCACTCCTATACGTCAAAGGGTTTGTTCTGGTTGGTATCATGATTTTCTTGGTTTTCTTGATATTTTTGTGGTAGAACACAGGGTTGATGAGGGATTGTCTGATATAATCTTGCTATATGACTGATTTACCTTTTTTGTGTGCAGTGCTGGAGCTTTAGATATGGAGCAAAATTTCTACTTCAGCGTAAAGTTCTGACAGTAAGTAATTTATTTTTTGATAACAGTTTTCATTTCTTTTTGTAAATTGATAAGTTGATCTAGTCACTGTCACTTTTAGTGAAGACAATGTGCAATTCACGTCAGCTTATTCTCAAAGATTAATCCCAAAAAAAGTTGTGATTTTTTATCACGATGATATTTCAGAGCCCTCAAGTGCCACATATTGAGAGTGAGTACCATGCAAAAATAATTAAATGCTCTCACTATGAAACTACTTTCTCGTGAATGTATTAGGTCTCTGATTTAAACTGTTGATTTTGAGGAAGCAAACTGCCTCTTTAGTAAAGTATCTATAAATTAAATTAAATTAATTATCCTTCTATAAATATGGTGTACTCCTTGCTCTCTTTGTACTTGCTTTGAACACTTTTCAACAGTGGAAATTCCTGCTCAGAACAAAGGAATGCATCTAGTACTTCATAACTGTAGCTAAGTATGTGATTTTTTTTAATATGTAATTTTCCAGGGGAACAATTGCTCCCATACTGGCCCCAGGAATGTGATGCCTGTGGCATCACAATATCACTGTATGCAGCAAAGATATCACTCTTTGCCAGAATATTGACTCTGTATTTTTGCAAAATGTTATTTCAGGATTGTATGCCTCCATCCTGCCCCATATCTCTTCTCTGCTTAGAAGACACCCCTAGTAGATCACAGAGATGCTTTGCTGTGTATCACAATAATGTGATCATCTATAATCTCCTGAATGGAACATGTGTTGGACACCTCAAAGAGCTTCATCCCAGAGAGATCACTGCTATGTTGTTCTTCAATCCACTCAAGGTATGACTTAGTAAATACAGACTCTTTGTCACTGTTTGAATGTGAGTGAAAGTTGTGCCTGTGATTGAAAATACCACAGGAAAAAAAAAACTGTATCAAAACGTGGGCACTCAGAAAATCCTTGCCTGTGTTTGGGGGTGCTTGATTAAGGTCTCTCAATCTGCACATTCCTGAGTTTAAGCTTGCTGATAGTGGCTAGTGTCTGTTCAAGGTGGCAAATTATACATTCTGCCCAATGCAGCTCTGGCTGTTCAAATGCAGTAGCACGAAGCACCTGAGGGTTGTCATTGGAAGTGTAAGTCAGTAGGTGGAGGAAACCTATTGGCTATCAGACCATTTTTCTCAGGCTACTTTGTTAATTGTGATAAAATACAGATAATAAGTATTTTTAAACAGATTCTGACATCAGTGTCTGGTTATTAAAGGTTATCAAATATCAGTCTCAATGCTGGAAATCATGTGCATCAGAGACTTTAAAATTTTCACCACAAGGGTGTGTTGCAAAGCAACAGCCACCGATTCAGAGTGCATTGAATAATTCAGCCACTGACTCAGAATGCATTACATGAGATTACGAAAGAATAAGTACAAAAGATCCACACTTAACATGTTGGAGTAGACTGAGGAAACTTCTTTTGAATGGGTTGCACATCAATGTATCAGAGGAGGGGAACAGGGATGGTGCAGCGGTGAGAGCACTCGCCTTCCACCGCTGTGGCCTCAGTTGGATTCCCATACCTGGCGTCAGATGTGGGTTGTTGTTGGTTCTCTTCCTTGCTCTGAGGGTTTTTCTCCAGGTCCTCCGATTTTCCTCCCTCCGCAAAAACCAACATTCCAAATTCCAATTTGATCTGGAAACAGTGGACAAGAAGAGCCACCTAGTGGAATGTCCATTGCTAAATTATTTATTAGTATTTATTTATTTATTTATTTATTTATTATGATGCTTCTTCTCAGTAAATGCTGAAATATTTCACTTTGACAAGAAGACCCCCCTCAGTTGGTCCAAATCTGAAATTTGTACAATTTTATGCAGTTTTTTCTTAATGGCATTTTTTAATTAAAGAGCTGCTTTATTTCAGTCTAAATGCCAAAGGCTTGACTCTTAACTCAGTGAAGCTAGATCTCTCATATAGGTAATGTGCAACCATGTTTTTTTTTCAATATTTCGTTATATGCTCATGTAGTTTTTATTCTATAGTATCTTATAACAGGAGCAAAAGACGGCTCAATAAAAGTGTGGGATGACAGAGGAAATATCAAGATCATCTTTGTTGGCCATTTAAAGTCAGTGAACACTCTAGCCGTGTATCCATTTGGTACCTACATCATGTCAGGCTCCAGTGACAATAGCATACGTGTGTGGAGTTTAGATACCGCGGATGAAGTAGATAGAATTGACACTAAAGAACCTGTACTGGGTCTTGGGACTATTGTGGGAAAAAATGACCTGTATTCCTTTGGACGGAGATCGATAGAGTTATGGAAGATCGAGCACATTCATTCTGTGTTTGCAACTGTAGGGTGAGTAAAATTTGATATTTGGAGCTTGATATACATTCAAGCTTGATTGAAGTCTGTTTACAGCGCGTTATTCGTGGGAAAATGGATGTTAGGACGCATTTTAATCGAGCGTCTGAGAGCCAAAATTCTCACGGCGGTCAATTTCAACCAAGAAATCAGATTCAAGTGCGAGAAAACGCTAACTATAAAGTAGCAGTCGGTTTTCGTTTTGGTCAAGATAGTGGCGCGAATTCAACAAGCCAATTACAAAGCAAAGGGAAGCGAAGCCAATGCAATCACAGATCCTTTTTGAGACTTCGTTTAATATTGTAAGTTTTGCACGTGTGTATAATGATGATACTGCACCACGCAGGCTGCCCATGTCCAAACTTTTAAACCTATTATAACTGATGCTTTTTACTTTGAGAGGCCAAATGCTGACAGAAAATGTAATTTGTGGTAATCCTGCGTAGCATTAATTAATATTTTGCCGGCACGTTTCGGAGGACTCGGGGTGGCTGCGAGGTACGCGGGGAGTTATGGGATCGTGGTTTGTAAGTAGAAGTCGTTAGTAGGGCAAGGCATTCTACGGTCAGCCTTCACCGTGTGTAGTTCTTCGTTTTCGTCTTTTGTATAAATTTAGAGCGGTACTTGCATAGTACTTTAACTAACTATGTGTAAATGTCATTCATAGGATACCCTAAAACCCCAAGGGTGGCACCGCTGCCTTGGTCGGGGGTACACGTTCTCCGTATTTTCCACCTGCTGGTTTTTAGGGGTTTTCGTGTCCGGCTTTGGTGCGTTTAGTTTACTTCAATTTTAAAAGACTTCTGTTAGCATATCGACTCGGCGTTAAATAAACGGTGGCTTGGCTGGCCAACCCGCCCAGATATCAACCCTTTGTGTGTCTGCTTAAGTAGTGAAGGAAAAATACATATCCTTTCTTTCCACCATGCTTGAGACTATACTTAGGGATGTAGCCTGACATGATTCTAATTTTTTTTCCTTCGTGCAGAAGCAAAATCAAATATATCAAGCCCACGACACACCCAAGAGTAAGTAATGCTCATTCTACCATAGTCATAGCTAGAAATTGCCCGTTAGCGAAACAAAACATGTACAATGATATCCTCTGCTATTCATTTTCATCCATGTACACACAGTATCTGCAGGTATATATGTAGTTGTAACCGCACAGATTTTAAAATATATAATTTTATACGGCATTCTCGCAAAGTTACTTTTGGTTACAATGAATATATGAAGTTCATATATTCATATGATATTCATATTCATATGATATTCATATATCGTCCATCATACGTAAAGTTACTTTTCTTTTCAATGCTACATCAATCTCAGATTATATTTTCTTGATTTTTTTACGCTGTTTGACCGTTATTCAACGGCTGATATACACTGAGCGACAAGTCGAGGCGATATGTTGAGAGGAAAAGTCGCAACAACAGCTCCCATTATAGTTTCACAATCTCAACTTAATCTTTAAAAAAAATGTTGCACAAACTCAAATTGCAGGGAATTTTTAAGATTATCACAGGAATAAAATGAGTCAAAGCTACTCGTTTAGGGGAACAGCGCATACAAAGCAGTTTGTCGTACAAATCTGTGGAAATGAGCTCTCGCCTGATGTTTCCCGGCCCTTAAAATTTAAACAAAATCTGCGATCTTTTTGTTCCCCAGATGCCGACTAGACTGGTGTGCACTTGTGATGATGCAACAGTTCGCTTGTTGTCCCCAGGATCCGGGGAGTGTATCACCACCATGTTGTTACCGAACATGAGCATTATCGTTGACGTGTCGTACGCTGCTGCTGAAAGTAAGACAGGATGAAAATACTTGATTTGTACCATGTTCATTTTAGGGAGGTATATTTATTAGAGACTGTGCAGTGCTGAGAACGATTAAATCTCCCACGGCTGGGCTCTGTGTACGAATCCTGGACCTGACGTCACACGTAGCAGGTTCTCGTCCAAGCTCGGAAGATTTGTACCCAGTTTCTCCAGTTCTCCTCATTTACAAAAACCAACACTTTTATTTTAATTTGGCCCAAAGAATAGCAGTTCTATTATTTTTCCCATATAAATGTACTGAGTTTGGCCATCCCTTTCTATTCTGCTGAGGTTTTTGCTTTATGCCGTGAAGACTTTCGACACAGAAGTAACTTTTAGTACTAAAATACTTGCTTAGACTTATGGGGGAGAATAATTTTAAATGCAGTAGTCAGACAAATGGAGAAATCGTTCTGGTGTGTTTTGGTGAAGTTTAACGCCAACTGTACTGCCATTACATTCATAGCGGCTGTATTGACTTTATTTTTTCCTTTGTCCTTGGTAGGTTTTCTGTTTACTTTGCTCTCAAACGGTAAAATCTTAAAAGCGTCCACTTTGACCAATCCATGTAAGAAACTTCAGGAGTGGGATACAAACAGCAACTCAGATGGTACAGCCTTGACTTGAACTTGCAGTCACTTTAATTTGTATTTTAAGCTCTAATTTTCTACATGAAGCTTAATAATGTGCAGTGTAGGTATCAATAATAGTCAATCATCACTAATTTTTGCTCATTGACGTTTGGTCTAAATACGTCACGTGACTGAATATGTCCATGCTAAAATATACGAGCTTCTTATGAACAAAATCAGAGTAAGCTATTTTCATATGATTAACGATTGCTTTTCGACTTGTTTTCAGCTCCCTCTTCGTGTACTTGCCTTTGTCTTTATGAATACGTTGTGCAGGTAAGATACATCGATGGTGCTATATTAGCCCATTTAATACTTAAGTACACTGATTTCATTTGAAAGCTATAGAAATTCTGGAGATTGTTGCATGTGATACAATCTCGAAACAGCTGGCACTCATATCCTAATGGCTGACACTTTTGTCCAAAATAGCGCAGTGCGTGAAAATGACTGAGTTATTTATCTTGTTATAATTAGTATGAAGGTCCGATCTTAAGAGTACTTTCCAGAAAATTTGCCGGTCATATTCGTTTTAAAGAGAGTAAGACGGTGACAATGTTAGTCTGGGGTCGCATGAAGAGTTTGCAATTTCGTAACAGCGAGAGGTGGTGATTTTAGGGTTTAGTCGGAGATTGTGTATCGGATGGGGTTGACTCATTCATTTCTTTGGCCAGGGATTTTTTTCATGTGCTGAAAAAGTGAAATTTCCAACAGGTGAGATTTGAGGTAATTTGGTAATTCAACTAAGTTGAAATTGTAAATTGGCCACCGTAAAGAGTTAAAAAGCTGACGTTTCGAGNTGACCAGGCCTTTACTTGGAATGAAACAGCTTTGTTGGATTCCTTTTGTTTTATATGAACGGATTCAAACTCAGTGAACCTTAACCTATCTATACCACTGAGACCTGATGCAGAGCACTAAATAACTTGGAAGTTTCTCAAAAATGCGATTTTTGGTGCGAATAATTGTACACCACAAAATCGTACCCGGTTTACGACTACACTATAGGACGCTCTTAATTCACATAATTTTCGTCTGATATCGGCAATTGCTCAAGATATCTTCCACCGCTCTCCGCGAACAACTTTCTTGGCAGGCTAACGATTAAGTACAAAATTGAGGGCTTGAAGGAGGGTAAAAAGTTCCATGAACGCCACTATTTCGTTTTCTTTATCTTGTCTGTGCTCGGAGAATACTCTATGTTTAGAATCAATTTTGCTTTTTAGATCACACTATCAAGATATGGCGCCTTTTCCCGTTCGCCGAGGAAGCCCTAGCCCCTCTGATGACGTTATACTGTCATGAGACACCCAGATTCCTGTCTGTGGCTCACCACAAGCTCTGTGCGGCATTCCACGAGCCGGCCACTCCTTCATATAACATCGTCGTGTTCAAAACTACTCAAAAAAGTGAGTAACATGATACTTTAATGTTCTGAAGTTTGAGCTACATGTACCCTATGCAGCACGGAATCGATATCGTAATCCGCAATATGTTTTTAATTCTGTCGCAAAATTATCACCAAGGAATTTGAATGTATGAAAATCATATATGTGTACTGTGGTTTGATGAAATTTATGAATGCGATCCTCGCAGTACTGAACCTGAATTTTTTTCACGCCTAATTTCTGCTATTACATAAGTAGGGTTCATTACTGCGAGAATTATCGCCAAGTTAATCACCATGCCCGTTGAGATCAAAAGGAGATACCACAAGGTGGCCAGTACATGATTAGTTGAAAGGATGGTGTTTATTTTCTTTACCAAAGAATTGCAGATTGCATCAAAGCATGACCAATACAATGTTACATTGCTTTAATCA